ATTTCAAAGGGATGAATGAGGGCTGGAGCAGGGCATTTAGCACTATGCCCAAGTACCAGGCTGAGAAGAGATTCTTTTTAGGAGGCCACATAATTAGTTCTGCTTTAAGAAATTGTTTTACTAAGACCTCATCTTCCTATTTGTGCCCTATAAATGAAGATATTGCTAATATCTGTACTTTGATCGTGTTATAGGCTGAACCCTTATCCAGCACTGATTGCAAAAAATCTGGCACATTTGTGATCTTTGGAGTCAGTGGGGAGAACTTTCGCTGTGCAGCGAAGGCTACAAATTTCCCCCAAATCCTGGAGTACGTAGTGTTTGTAGAGGATCTTCTCGCCCTTAAACGTGTAGAAATTACCTCCTCCGAGAGGTGTTATGACTGTAGTCTGGCTGATTCAAGAGCCATGTCGTTAGTTTCAATCTCCCCAGATTGGGATGGCTCCATTGACTCTGCTTCAGTAAATCTCTTATCAGAGGCAGAGGTACTGGTGGGGCTGATGCCATATGTAGGAACAGTTGAAACCATGGCCTCCAAGGCCAGAAAAGCAGTATCAGGATGGCATGGACTTCTTCCTTTGCGATCTTTAACAATGTCCTCATGATCAGAACGAGGAAAAGGTATACTAAGGGAAGCTCCACGGTATTGAAAATGCATCCTGCATTATTGCTCTGTCATCCCTCTACCTTGTTACAAATTTTGGCACTTGTGCATTCTCTGGGGTTGCAATCAGATCCATGGAGGGCATCTCTTAGTTGGCAAAAATTGGTTCCAGGTAGTGTCTGTTGATTGCCCATTTGCTGTTGCTGGGAAATCTCCGGCTCATTTGATCCGCAATATGGTTTAGTTTGCCTGGAATGTAGGCTGCAGTTATGGCCTCCACATGTGTCTCGCCCCAGGTCAAAATCTTGGTAAGCTGTAGTAACGGACTATATAGGTGATATCTGTCTGATTTCCCATCATTAACTTGACCCAGGCTCTGTATTTTAGGCTCTTGAAAGCCAACAGGGCTAGGTAAATTGCTTGCAACTCCAGAAGATTGGAGTGTCTGGTTTCAGTTGTACGCCATCTTCCCTGCACCTGCCTACTGAGGCAGTGAGCCTACCAGTCCCGGAGACTGGCATCTGAGGTTATCAGGATCCAATCTCCTGGGCTGAGGATCATGCCTCATAACAGGGTTTCTGGTGACATCCACCATGCTAAGCTTTGGCAGATCTGTGTTGGTAAACGGATTCTCTGTTACACCAGCCCACTGTCTTAGAAAAGGACATTTGAAAAGGCCTTGTGTGAAATGTTACTTAGGGAACTGTGGAAGTTGCTGCTGTAAACATCCCCAGAAGCACCATGCAATTTCTTGTAAAAAATGCAGGCGATTTCATCATGCTGCTGGCTCAAGCTCTTAATTCGGCTACCTTGTAGTTGGGTAGCAAGATTTGGCCCTCCTGTGTGTTGAATATTAGGCCCAGGTATTCCAGCTCCTAGATTGGAACCAGTTGGCTCTTTTGAGCGTTTATAAGCCATCTGAAGTCGGACAGGATCCTCAACACCAGGTTACGCTAATGTGCCAGCTCTTCGCTTGATCAGGTCACTACCAGGATATCGTCCAAGTAATGGAAGATATTTATCTTCTTTAATTGAATGACCGCAATGGTGGCTAGTAGAATCTTGGAAAAGACCAGGGAGCGGTGCTGATCCCAAAGGGCAGACATCTGAATTGATAATGGCCTTCTCCTAATGTGAATCTTAGATATTTCAGGTGGTGCCTGTTGACTGGAATAGGTAGATATGCATCTTCCAAATCGATTGAGATCAGCCAGTCTCCAGCCAGTTTAGGATCGATAAAGAGATTTAGAGATCTCATGTCCAAACCTGGCCTGAGATCCCCCGAGGCTTTTGGCATTAAGATTGGAGAATAGACACTTTTCACTCGTTCTAAAAGCACTGGAGAAATTAAATCCTTCTACTGTAATCCGGCTACATATTCTACTATGCACATTCTCTTCCTCTGATCCTATGACCATTCTGTGTGGACAAAGATGTTCAGTGTTTTCTCCTGAAATATTATCTTGTAACCATTCCTTGCCATCTTCTAGACTTCTTTTACACCGTCAAAAAGACTTCTCATTATTTTTAGCCATTTGGGATGCTCTTGATTTTAGGCCCCTTAAAAAGCAGCTTTGCGTTCCTCTCCATTGGGCTCTAGCATATATTCTCGGCCAGGTCTATATGATATGGCCTCTTGTGCTTTTCTGAAGTCAGCTTGCCCCAACCGAAAGGTCTGTTGTCTCCTTTTGTTCCTTTAAGGTAGAAGACCTGATCTTCCTCCAGTGACTCACTTAATGGCCTCTTCTAGGGTCTTACCGAATAACATCTTGCCATTACACTTAATATTGCAAAGCTCCTGTTTCGATGTGCCATCTGCAACCCAATGATGCAACCAAAGGACCCTCTTTGCTGTCACTGAATGTGCCATGAACCTTTCCAGCAGCTTGACCAGGTCTATGGATGCCTCTGCTAGAAATGCCGCCGTTAGATTGAGATCCTATAGCACTGTAATAATTCTAGTTGCCTCTACTCCTGATCTTAGGGTATTTCCACATTCATTACCAAAACATTAATGCTCTTGAAATGGAGGTTAGTGCTATGGTCAGCCGTCAGACTGTGCCTACCACAGAATAAATCCTCCAGAGGTCAACATTTTCCCACCTATTCATTGGGTGCCTGAAGGTGGTAGTCTTCTAAGGGAAAAAATACGTACCTTACCAGATGCTACAAGGCTGCGTCTACTCCAGGGGCAGTGTCCCGGAAATCAGCATTTGAGGCCTTGAATGGATACAGTTTTGCGAATCGATTTTGGGTGTTTTCCTTCTTTTCTTGCCTCTCCCATTCATTCTCATACAATTTGCGGATCTTCGTCATACATGGAAACACAGCTCCCTGTCTTTTTAGGTATGGAAAGTATCTCCTTATCCTTTCCAGGGACTGAGAGTTTTGTTCCCATTCTATGGCCTTCTTAACTGCTGTAATATATGGATGTATAAGTTGGAAATCGAACAACTGTTCAGAAACCTCTTCTGATTCGGGTGATGTTTCAGAGGATATCTCTAGCACCAGTGGTGAACTTTGCCTTTGCTTTGGGGTGCTCTTGGCCTTAGGATCACTTTTAGATGCACTTTAGTTACCACATGTATACTATCGGCCATGGCCTCATGGAAATAATCCTTGATTTTGTTTGCTTCTGCCTCCTTGTCTCATGCATTCGGGACACAAGAACTTCTTAGGTGCTGATGGAGCCAAACCATCCCAACACAGGCCCTCGGCAGGACACCTTCCTGAGCTCTTTGCCTCTGTGGCTAGACACTTACTGCAGCCTGGACTGCCCAGAGAGTGGGGCATATGATTTGAATGCAATTCAGTCATATGCAGAGAAGTTGAGCCATGGCGGCACTTTTCTTTCTGTGAATGTCTATTTTTAGGGCTTCTGCTCTTAAAAGAGATTAGACACCCAATTAATCTGGTGTGCAACACCCTCCTTCCTTTCCAATGGCCTTCATGCCTTTTGTGGCTGAGGCAAGCTCATGGCTGCTAAGTGTGGGATTGCTGCTATATTTTTGACATCACAATATGGCACCAGATAGCTGCACATGCTCAGTAGTAGTCTATGATCTCTGAGGTTTCTACAGCTTGTGCTAAATTCCACAGCCATATGCCAGGAAACAACCTTTCTCAGATCTGTTAAGAATTTGGTAAGAACATATGAATCTCAAGCCACAAAGTGAGGTGGATTAATATAATTTGCAGGAAAATAATGGAGGCGAGTCAGCTAGCACAAGTCCACAAGGCATCTTCATCCAGGACCCCTGGATGTTAGTCTGGCAAATCTATTTTGCTATGATCATAAAAAAGTGCAGCACAGCACTGAAACAAAGGAGATAAGCAAGTTCACATCCTGTGTGTTTTTGTAAGTGGTTGTAAAGGTTCAAGGTGTTTTACCTTCATGCATTCTATGCATGAGGGTAAAACACCTTCTGTAAGCAGCTCCCCCCTCAGCCCCGGTACTTACCTGAGCTCCATCATGATCCAGCGATGTGCACAAGAGCTTAGGCTCTCCGGGGACTCTCCCTCCTCATTGGCTCCCGCTGCTGTCAATCAGAGCCAGTGAGCCAATGAGGATGGGGGGGGGGTGGTCTGAGCTGCGACTCTGTGTGTGAATAGAAACGCAGAACAGCAACTTGGGAGCAAGCCTGCTTTGGTGCCCCCATAGCAAGCTACTTGCTCTGGGGGCATTTTGCAGGAGGGAGGGACCAGGAGCACCAGCTGGAAACCTGACAAGTGGAGGATCAGGGCTGCTCTTTGCAAAACCACAGTATGACATGTTTGTTACTTTTTAAAACATGCCTTTGATATCACTTTAAGCAAATAAGGGGAAGCAGCACACAGATCCAATCAGTTGTGCTTCAATGTAAGGAGCGTGCTGATAAGAGGAGACAGCAGAGTGACAGAGAAATTATTTAATCAGTTTGCTGTTCCTCATTTTACTGTCCAATCAAAGACTAGAGGAGAGACAAAATATGTTAGTGTTACTAACAGGTCTCTTCCCCAGCCAGACCGGACTGTGCGGTGTAGCTGTGGAAGTCTCAAAACTGAATAGATAGAAATTCAAATCTTTTGGTAGGTAAAGCAGTTCTTTTATATGCATTTCATTTGTCTATTTAGCTGTTTGCCTGGAGTTGAGTTTTAAGGTATGATTCACCTTGGTTTACGTCTGTTATTAAAAGTGACCCTTGAGAAAGTCTTCCACAATCTTTGTTGACCAACAGCAGCCAATCATATTCTCCTTTTTATTTTTCCTTACTGTAAGTAGGAACTTAATTAGCTTCTATGGGGCATAAAAATGTTGAAAACATTAAAAAATTTTGAAAAAGTTACATTCCTTTAGCCACTTTGGAATTCATTTGTTAGATATGTAGTTAAAATTAATTTTATTCTTTCTTTACAGGTAAAGACAAAGGTCGGTGTGTCGCTTCTGAATTTTTCCATGGTCCAGATACGGATGCTGTGACAGAAAATACTGCAAACATACTGAGTAAGTGCACAGATCACAAAAAAATGGATATCCTTCTCATCAAGGGCTATTCACATAGATTTACAAAGTGTGGTATCTCTCACTTGGATAAGAATAGTTGTTCTTAGACATCCCAGTATAAAAATGCATGGCTAAAGGCACACCCCCTACAGTGGAGACATTTCAAGATCCCATTATTTCTTCTGCAGCCTTGCTTGGACTGTATGACAGCAGTTATACAAAGCAACACCTCACTGGTATCACCTTAGAATCAGTTTATCACTTTTCAGTTAATTTAAGGGGTCTATTTATAAATGTTTTCACACAAGATTCACACAAACTTCTCAGGAATTTACATTTTTTTCAATTGATTCCAATTAGAATAGTGTGTGTATTTTTGGTGAAAGTTGCTTGAATCTTGTATGAGATCATTTATAAATAGACCCCTAGTGTAGGGATGATGAAAAGTACATGGGATCCTTAAAGCGATTCTAAAGGTTCATTTTTTCTATTTTTTTTGGAAAATAACAAACTTCTATACTTACCTGCTGTGTGCAGTGGTTTTGCACAGAGCACCTTGGATCTTCCTCTTCTCGGGCCCCCCGCAGGCTCTCCTGGCCCCTTCCTCCTGTCGGGCGCCCCCACAGCAAGCAGCTTGCTATGGGAGCGCCTGCTACTGTGTCCATTCACTCACAGAGCCATGGCTTGGCCCCACCCCCTCTCTCTACTCATTGGCTGACTGGATGTTATTGTCTCAGCCAATGAGGAGGCAGAGATCCTGGACAGTTGGCTCGTGATGAGACTAAGATAAGCATTGAGGGGGCTGGGGGCAGTGCTGCATACAGATTTTTTTTACCTTCATGCATAGAATGGATGAAGGTAAAAAGCATTCAGCCTTTCCAACCACTTTAAGCTTATTACACAATCTGATTCCCTGAGCATCGGGTATTGGTGGGTTGAACTCCGATTGGAAGATGGCTACATAATTGTGACACCTTCTCCTTTTGATTCTCTGGTAAGTAACCACTGACACAAGTGATCTTTCAATAGGCTGTAAATGAGTCATTCTTCCCAATGACCCAACACTGTAACAGTGCATTCTCCCCATGATCAAACACTGAAACAGTGTATTCTTCCCAATGACCTTTACTCTTTACTAACAATGACCCCTAATGTAACAGCGTTTCCTCACTGACCACCTAGGTAAGAGGGCCTGTCTTCACTGACCAACAGTATAAAAGCTGCACTTTATAAATTACTATAATTTGTACTGCCTACTTTCATTTTCCAGCCATTATTATTATTATTATTATTATAATTTGTGCCTTGTTATTACTGAAAACAATTCTGTCATACAGAGCAGGAGGGTGTTAGAAAATGATCCATTCTGAGTGTCAGATATGCTAGGTAGGCCACATTTTTATTCTTTATCTAATATTATGTTTAAAACTTGCCAAGCATGATAATGTTCCTTAAGCTGTAGATATCATGTTTGCTTGGGGTTCTCCAAGACCTGAAGATTATTTATAGAGTTCCACCATGGTAGAAAAGCTGAGAATGGCTGTTTTAGACCATTGTGAGCAGAGAAATACAAGATAGATGTAAGTTCCATCAAAGCTTTGTGACAAAAGTATTTAGAGGAAAAGTTTTCTGCAATGTAAAGCTGAATTTTTACAATGCCCTGTTCCCAGCCAGAATATTCCTTTGAAGCACCATAGTCTGACTTCTATTCTTTCTTCCACCACAGACTCATTCGGCCTCCAGAGTAGTGTATGATGCCTTTCCCCACTCAGTATAAACAAGGTTCAGGTACAGAGAGTCTAAATTCTCAAGCTGTTAGTGGTGGTGGTGTCTGGTTCATAGGTACAGTTGTTGTTTTTTTATGTTGTTGTTATTTTGCATGATTATATTTCATCTGTATATCAACACCTGGACAATATCAATTTAGAATTGCTTTGTAGCTTGAAAGTGAACCTCCACTTTACTATGGTTCAAACAGCATACAGCACAGTCCTGGTAAGTGGGGTGTCCATGGATGATTTCCTCACTGCTTGCTTTCTTGACACAAGTCACCTTACAGCTTGCACTAGGTAAGGATATCAGATATTGAATTTCAGTGCTTAGTCAATAAAGGTCAAGGTCAATATCCAGTATGTGTCTTGTGGGCAAATACTGCAGGAACCAGCAAACCTTGGGGCCTTACAAGAGTACTTAATTCACCATTTTGGTTCATGGATAGGGATTTTAGCACAGATGTTAACACATCGCTATTGCAATACCTTGGTTTTACAAGGTAATTATTGATTAGAAAAGAGTAGGGCATGGATAAAGAGGTTAAGCGCCAGGTTATGTTTAAGAATTCAGTCAATTTAACATTTATCTTAAATTCTGACCTCACTCAGGAGCCATTCATATAAACACAACACCAAAGGAGAGTTCCTAAATTAAATAAAACAATTTATTTACTCCCCATCTTCCATATCAGTTGTGACAAGGTACCACTGTATTCCTTCAGCAATCCACAAATCTCTCTTAGAGATCCTTTCCTAATTCCTCCAACAGTGTAAATTTCCTTCCCATCACAACAGTCCCGGCATACTTTTGCATGGTACCTCTGGTCTTCAGCTACTTTCCACATGTAGGTCCACATTCCAAGTTTTGGTTCCAACTCTGGCAGTATGTACAGTACCACAATGATTCTGTACCTTGAGCCTAAGTTTGGATCCCAACATTGGATGCTCAAACACTCCTTGATTTCTCTCTGGAGATCCAAATATTTAAAAAAAAACAACAAAAGTATGACTTAGAAACTTCAAAAACAAATCTATTATTTTTTTCCTGACCAGTTCATTCTAGTGTCTATGGTCAGCTAAACGCAAGAGCTAAAGGTTGTTGGCGACTGGAAGGTTCCAAGTCCAAGGAAGTCATACTTATCCTTTTTCCAGTATTAGGGTTTAGAGTTGCATATTATTCAAAAAACACTAAGCATTTTATTCAATGGCTAGGTTTAAAGGAACTGAGATTTTTCCTACAGTTCTTGTTCAGTCAGCCAAATAAACCTATAGATGTTCAAACAGCAGATAGGAGGAAAATAGAATACAAATGAATACTCTTTACAGAAAGTAATACAAATATATAACCGTTAATAAGGAGTACCCATTGTGCTTTGGTTTTGCTGCCTTCCTGGGCCCCAGAGCAGCTGTCCCAACTGCACTCTCTCTGTTTCACATTTGTTTCTTGTACTGTCATATGAAAGCGAAATGAGGACTTCCAGGAAATAGACTATGCAAAATCTGCAAGGAGGACTGGACTGGGGATAGAAAGGCATTTGCCCACTTGGCTAATAGTAATAAGACAATTTGAGCTGATGGCTTTTAGTGGAGATTCTTCACCATTAAAACATTGACAAGAGCATGACCCACAGTCAATGACACATGCTGTAAGTATATAAAACTACCCACCCCTTTAAGATCTCATGTCTGGCAGAAGGAAGTCTTGCCAACTTCAACCAGTGCCTACTTCTTTTGGATCTCTCAGATGTTATATGACTGAATGCTGAAAGATACAAATGAAGCTGATGCCGGAAGATGTAAAATGTATATCACAATAAACTAAGACCTTTAGGAACGCTCATTGTCCACCATGCTCACCAATAATGAGGTACCCTGGCACACTTTGTTTGTTGCACTTTTTTAACTTACAGAAATTGCTGTAACTATGAAATAGATAGTTGGTTGTTCTTGCTTTCCCAATTCAAAGATTCCCAGTCCTCTCCTTGAAATATGGGACTGAATAACAGCTTCTCCAATTCGAAGAATCCCAGTCCTCTCCCTGAAATATGGGACTGAATACTACCTTATATCCAAATAAACACATACATACATCTCAGCATACACCCACATTCACAGGTGCAAAAATTAAAACAAAATGCAGTGGAGTAGAAAGTAACAGCCTAATGCAGGCCATAGACGGTTTGTTTATCGGCCGAATTGTCAGCCAAAAAACGAAACATCGGTCGTTCTGTTGCCACCAATGATTACGAAAATTGGCCATTTTTCGTAAATTTTCCAGCATTACCGATAAAAGAAATGAGGAGGAACCGCAAAAATCGGCTGATGACATTGCCCCACTAACGGTGCGAATAACGACCGATTATTCTTTCGGACTAAAATTCGGCTGATAAATGAACCATCTATGGCCTGCATAAGAGGCACCTATGGTCAACACTTATATAAAAGAAAAAAGCTGTCATTCCTATTTTTTAGGCAACGTCTTTGAGTCTGCTGCTTTATACTACTCAAAGTGGTTCTAAAGGCTGAGGGTTTTTTAAATAGTTACATAGTTAGTCTGGTAGGAAAAAAATCCAACTAGTTCCACCAATAAAAAGCAAAAAATGTATACAATCCTATATACACAATCCTATACCCACAGTTAATCCAGAGGAAGGCACAAAACCAATACAAATAATGATCCAATATGCTCCAGCAGGGGAAAAAAAATTATTCCTGATCCCCCAAGAGGCAATTGGACATTCCCTGAATCAGACAATAATGGAGGGTGGAATGGATAGATGGGGGGAAGGGTTATTCCAGGTGACAAGAAGGTTCCCATGTTACAAAAAACCATTGGAATTGATAGTACTATATTTGTACTGCTAAAAAAGATATGCAAAACCTTAATGCATTCTACAATAGTAATTTGTCTAGACAAAAATCTTCAGTTTGCCATGCATTAGTTTAATTTTTGTTTTACTACTTTGTATATCTACTTGATTTTTTATATTATATTTTAAGAAATAACATGCATGTGTTTTATTATATGTGAAAAAAGTACAAAAATATGTACAAAATACACTTTTCAGTTTTTTTTAAATAGTTGGCTCTGTTGCATATATTTACACAATATTTCTCATATTTATGTGAATTATGGGGCCCCAAATCTGTGTAACTTTAAGTATAAATAAAACTAGTATGTATATGATGTATAAAAGAGGGTGAAGATTTTACATTTCATAGTATTATTTTATTTTCATATAATGCAAATGACTCTAGTTCATGGAAGATCAAAATGTCTTAATAAAATACATCCCCGGCATCTTATGTACATATGATTTACAGCTTCATTTCAGTTTGCTTTGCAGAGGACCTTTACATGGTGATGCTGGAATGACAAAATGGTATTTTACCAGAGAACAACAGGAATACTCCTTCTTTTTAAGTATTAGTATAGGTTTTCTAATACAAGAGCCATATGTATTCTTACTTTCATCTTGGTGTGCTTTGCATATTTTTGCCAGATCTGTGTAGCAATCCACTGTGGAACTTTGCCTCTGTACAGCAGTTTCCTGTAATAGAGACTCATCATTGCTGTTTGTCCTTTTGCAGGGTGACTGGTCTTGTTTCCACCCCCTTGTATAGCTTTTTGCAGATAGGTTGTAGTGGATGTAGCCTGTTGGGTCCCTCCCACAGCTCTACTCTCTGCACAGGCTATGTGCAGTGCAGTGATGAAGTCACTGGTACTTTTATAAAGGTAATACTTACGTTTCCTAAGGTATCTGGTGCACACAAAGTTGATGTATATCCTTTGTGCTTACTAAAGAATATACAATATTTCAATGAAAGTTTTGTTTCCAGAACTCAGCTGTAAAGCCCAACTCCAGCCCATTTTTTTGTTTAGGACAAATACGTTCTCTATTAGGTGTTTACATGTAGTTTGTGTTTCTTTTGCTTATTTCTTGCCCTAGGGTCACTTCACCCTGATCCTAGCTCCCTCTCAACACACATTATATAGGCATGGTTCACTGTTTTTATTATTAGAAAACCCAGTTTGAAAAATGCCATGCGGCCGTCATCAGAGTGCATGTAGACAATAAACAGCTGTAAAGTGGTTGCAGGACATCAGCATTACTTAGATACTACAAAGTCTAGAAAATAAATTAGAAAATATTAGAGTTAAAAAAAGGGTAGTTGTTTATGATACACAGTGCTTTAGCAAACTAAATGTCACTCTGTTTGAGCTTACATCTACCTTAACAGCATCGTTCTAGTTGTGTATATATTTGCACTTACTTCTTATGCTGACATTTAGGGTTTCAAAGATTTTCTTTTTTTTAATGCAGAGACTATCCGCAGTGCAACCCCATTTCCTATGGTTAGCCTTTTTCTTGTGTTTACGGCCTTTGTCATCAGCAACATTGGGCATATCCGACCACAGAGGACCATACTAGCATTTGTTTCTGGAATTTTCTTCATACTTTCTGGTAAGTTCCTAAACTTGGCTCAAGTAACAGGTACTCTTTATAGCCCATCTGCTCTGCTGCTAACACTTACCTTCCCCACACTCCTCTGAAGCCCACTTTCCAGTTGGAGCCCTTGCAAATACCAAGTATTGGTAAGCATGTATTCTTCTCCACCTACACGAGTACTGTAACATTGGGGAGGATGGAAGGTCCCCCATGATTCAGAAATTACTGAATTTTCACACAAAACAACACTGAGCTCACACAAGGCTGTAGATGGTGAAGAGTTGATAGCAGAGGAGGTAAGCTATAGCAAGAACCAGAATGGGAAAAGTGATATGTCCATATTAAAAAGTATTTTGATAAAAAATAAATCACCTCCTTTAAAAGAAATGTATTGTGCTTAAAATATCAACATAAAAGTGATATTTCAGTCATAGGTGGAGTCTGCTGAACTGAATTTCTTGTTGGCATCTTGTATATCCTAGAGTCAATAGCTGCAAGATCTCCCTGCAATAATTCTCAATCTGTTATCTCCAGATTTGAAGTTTTGTGTGTTTCCTACCACCTTAAGAAAAGAAAAAGACAAATATGGGGAATACACCTGTAACGGAACCGGACCCAGATTGCACTAGGGTATTTCCATTAGACTCCCGCTTCCCTGTCCGAACACAGATCCACGGACACCACCGCTGGCCATACAAGATGAGACAGCACCAGGCTTGTACTAAAACAGGAGATATACTGCTTTATTTTAACATAGATACAAGATATATACACAGAGCGGGTAAATACGCACCCAGACAGGAAACACATCAGCAGGCCGTCCCATCAGGGGGAAGGGCTGCCGGAAACATGACATCCCATAATAGTTTTCTCCCAAGCAAGACACACAATAGAACAATGGGATGCACCACATGGCAGTGAACAATGAACAACCCCCACACCAATACACAAACATTACATCCCATAATAGTTTGCTCCCAAGCAAGACACACAATAGAACAATGGGATGCAGCCACATGGCAGAGAACAATGAACAACCCCCACACCAATATTAGAACGTTTCACCCTGTACCCCTAACAGGCACAGGGTGACTTACACCTAATAGGAATATGGGGAGCTGAGACAGGTGTCCCCCCACCTCTCCAAAGGGGGCTGTGTTCCATGGGCCCCCCACCCAAAATCACTCCCGTCACAACACCCCTGTATTTTGGCCAACTTTGCAAAACTGAAAGTGCAGTGTGCTGTGATCAATATTTTTTTTTCTAAACCCAGGAGACAGTTAAAAAAGAAACAATAATTTAAGTAGAGGCTTTCATCATCATTTTCCTCACAATCTAAATGAAAAAGTTTGTATGGAGTTTTCCTTTACCCAAAAGCCTAATTATTGTTGTAATTTTTGAGTTTGGACATTTTCTGGAACATCTGCCAGTGTATGCATTTTCATTATCCCCAGTAGCAGGGAGGAATCTATAGTTTCTGCCCTACAAGGCCAAAGGCTTTGAGCCACTTACCCCAGTCAACTGACTAAACTCACAGTAGCAAGATCTGCTGGTGCTAGAGTGGCTAGAATAGTCAGTTTTTGAACTCTGCATCAATACACAATGGAACCAATGATTGGAAGAGTACATTACATTGTCATCCTTCTCTGCTAGCAATTCTGTTCTAGTTTTATGGACAAACTGTAATTACATACTACACTATTGCACCAACGAAGATACACAAACTGTTCAGGGACAACAACAATAAGGACCTGGTGTTATTGCTAGAACAGGATGTGTGCTAGCCCTAGTTCACACCAAATGTGGATTTGAAATTGCGCTACTTCAGCTGAAGTAGCACGATTTCAAAGCCGCTGGTCAGTGCAATTTCATGTGTGGCTTGCCGATATCTGTGTGACTTCATGCACAGATGTCAATTTAAGTTGCACATGAAATTGCCAAAAATAGTGCAGGAACCTTTTTCAAAATCAGTGCAAGTCAGAGTCTCATTGATTTGAACAGTTCATTAGGCACAAATAGAGTGCGTCTTGTCATGTGATAAACTTGCTATTGATAATCATCAAAGTGGTTTTGTAGACAGCTTTGTGCCTTCCTTGAGTCCTGCCATTTTAGGCAACAATCTATTCAGAAATTAGTAGGCAAATAGCTCACTTTCTGCATATATTGGTAAAGTGTCAGACATTGTGTAGTCGTCTAATATTAACCACTTGAGCTCCAGAGGATTTACCCCCCTTAATGACCAGGCCTCTTTTTGCTACTCGGCGCTGCACTAATTCAACTGATAATTGCGCGGTCATGCAATGCTGCACCCAAACAAAATTTACGTCCTTTTTTTTCATACAAATAGAGCTTTCTTTGGGTGTACTTTGATCACCTGTGCGCTTTTTATTTTTCACGCTATAAACAAAAAAAGACCAAACATTTTGAAGAAAAACAATATTTTTTACTTTCAGCTATAACAAATATATAGTAAACTCAAAGTTGGTTATAAATTTAGGCCAAAATGTATTCTGCTACATGTTTTTGGTAAAAACAAATCCCAATAAGTGTATGTTGATTGCTTTGTGTGGAAGTTATAGCGTCTACAAACTACGGTATAAATACTGCAATTTACGCCATTTTTCTGCTATACAGCGCAGTGCTAGTATAATGGACAATTGCGCGGGTCATGCAATATGGTACATAAATGAAATTTACATCCTTTTTTTCCCCACAAATTGAGCTTTCTTTCGGTGGTATTTGATCACCTGTGCGGTTTTTATTTTTTGCGCTATAAAAAAAAGGCTGACAATTTTGAGGAAAAAAAAACAATATTTTGGACTTTTTGCTATAAAACATGTCCAGTAAAAAAAAAATGCAAAAATCAAATTTAGTCATAAATTTCTGCCAAAATGCATTCTGCGACATGTCTTTGCTAAAAAAAAAAAACCCCCAATACGTGTAAATTAATTGGTTTACGTGAAAGTTATAGCGTTTACAAATGGCGGGAAAGATACTGGGATTTTTAGTTTTTTTTTTATACTAATAATGGCGGCGATCAGCGAATTATGGCGGCGATCGGGGACTTATGGCAGCGACCAGCGACTTACGGCGGGACTGCGGGACTGCGGCGGACATTCTGACATTGGGGGGTACTGACTTGGGGTCACTGACATCCCCAAAAACACTAATACAGTGATCAGTGCAAAAAAAAAAAAACACTGACACTGTACTAATGGCAATGGGAAGGATGGGGTTAACTTTATTTTGCAGGGAAGGGTTATAGGAGTGAGGGGAGTGTTTTACTAGGGGGCGGGGGTGTGTACTGGATGGGACAAGGCTGATCGAGAAAGAGAAACTGTTCTTTCTCGATCAGCTCATCCTCGAGCTGACAGGGAAGTGACAGACAGCACAGCTAGTGCAGCTGTGCTGTCTGTCACTGTTTGCCGCCCGGCGACTCACATCTGCGGCGGTGATCGGCGGGACAGATAGGGCGGCGGCGCGCCTCGCGCGCGCCCCCTATTTGTTTACAAAACACACGTTTTAAAACGTGGTTTTGCCTGCGAGTGCCGCCCTGCCGCCGAATATCTATAGTGGCTGGGCGGCAAGTGGTTAACTTATAGACAAGTTAGGATCAGTAAAACATGACAATCTTTTGTTGTTGATCCTAACAGATGGATGTTGCCTCCAGTCCAAAAGTTTATATGCTTACAGTCTCCAGCAATGGAAATAAGGTCCTAAGAAAAACCTACAGATAACCTCAGAAGAAATACAGGCTGCTCTTAAGGAGCACAATATGACAATACTACAAAAATGAGCTGCATTGTCGAATTGCCAGAAAGAAGCCTTTACTGCACCAATGCCACAAAAAGCCTGGTTACAATATGCCTGACAACACCATGACACGGCTCACTGAGCTTTTTCGTAGCATTGGTACAGTAAAGTCTTTTTTCTGTCAACTCAACCATGCAGCTTCTTTTTGTTTAACCATTAGCCGCTCGGCCTATAGCCGTTTGGCAGCGGCAAAAATGCATCAGCTTTCCGGGTGCACGCCATTTGGCGTGCTCCCGCACATGTGCAGTTCGCGCGGTTTGCAGAGCCGCGCAGCGGCGCGATCTGTCACCGGCCGAGTACCTCAGACACGGCCAATGACAAATCTGAGTACCGGCCCCCATTGCCAGTACCATGTGACCTGCTGTGACCAATCACAGCAGGTCACATGACAGTTGTATACAATGGATGGCTTCATTCATGCCATCCATTGTATACTAGTGCCTAGCTGTGAATGGTCACAGCTAATCACATGCACATGTCATGTGATTAGCTGTGGCCAAATCACAGCTAAGCACAAAAAACAAAAAAACAAAAAAAAAACTGAATGAATCGATTTCATTCAGGTAAATGCTTGCTTATAGCAAAGTAATTATTTGCTTAAAAAAAAAAAAAAAAAAAAATACTGATCACTTCCCCAAAGTAGTACAATGTTACTATGGTAACATTGTACTACTTTGGTCATAGTAAAATATGAAAAAATCTTAAAAAAATAAAAAAAAAAAAAGTAATAAAAAATTAAAAACAATAAAAAAATTAAAAATATATATATATATATATATATTTTTTTTTTTTTTTCATACTGTCACCAGTCAGTGTCCCTGTTCACCGCCATGCCAGTTATATGATGACGCTGTACTGCACTGGTGACAGTATGTAAAAAAAAATAGTGAAAATAATTTTTTTAATTTTTTCATTTTCCGAAAAATTATGACAAAAAAATACAACTTCAAAAAACTCGCCATTCCTCTTATGAAGTACGTCGGACTGTCTACTCTGCAAAAAGGGGTCATTTGGGGGATATCTGTACTGTTCTGACATTCTTGGACCTCAAAAAATTAGATTGGCTGTCAGTACTTCAGGATTGATCAATTTTCAGATCTATACCATAGTTTGTGAACTCTATAACTTTCCTACAAACTAAATAATACATCCTAATTTGGGTTATTTTCACCAAAGACATGTAGCAGAATACATCTTGGCCTAAATTTATGAAGAACAATTATTTATTTGTAAACTTTTATAACAGAAACAAAGAAAATGTGTTTTTTTTTTCAAAATTTTTGGTCTTCTTTTGTTAATTTAGCAAAAAATAAAAACCCCAGCGATGATTAAATACCACCAAAAGAAAGCTCTAGTTGTGTGAAGAAAACGATAAAATTTTAGTTTGGGTACAATGTTGTATGACCGCGCAATTGTCATTCAAAATGTGAGAGCGCTGAAACGTGAAAAATTGCCTGGGCAGGAAGGTGTAAAATTGCCCGGTATTGAAATGGTTAAGTATCATCATATTTTGCTCCTTGAAACAGCCACACCATCTTTTTCCAGAGCCTTATTTCTCCTGATGTTACCTGTGGGGTTTTCATTGTATCCCAAACAAGTCTTCTGGCAGTTGTGGCTGCAGTCTTTCTTGGTCTACCTGACCTTGGCTTGATATCAAGAGATCCCTGAACATTCCATTTCTTAATAAGTAGTTGAACAGTACTGACTGGCATATTCTAGATTTTGAATATCTTTTTATATCCTTTTCCATCTTTATAAAGCTCCATTGCCTTGTATCAGTATCTTGCCTGCTCAGTGCATCCACATGAGAGCTAACAAGCTCATTGACCTTTTTATACACAAACACTAATTGCAATTTAAAAAGTCACAGATGTGGGAAATTAACGTTTAATTGCCATTTTAACCCGTGTTTGTCATCTTGCGCATCTGTACCAAGGCCAAACATTCCTGGGTGTGTAAACTTTTGATCAGGGCTATTTGGGTGACGTCTTTTATCATTATGATTTAAAAAGGAGCCAAAAAAACTATGTGATAATAAATAGCTTAATATGATCACTATCCCTAAATAAAAGACAGTTTTTTGGCATGATCAGTCATTTTCAATATAAATGCCAAAATGTCACCATTTCTGCCAGGGTATGCATACTTTTGAGCACAACTGTATATATATATACTTTTGAGCACAACTGTATATACTGTGTGTATATATATATATATATATATATATATATATATATATAATATACATACATACAGTATACACACTACTTTGCCAAAAGTATTGGGACACCCCTCCAAATCATTGGATTCAGGTATTCCAGTCACCTCCATGACCACAGGTGTGTAAAAACAAGCACCTAGGTATGCAGACTGCTTCTACAAACATTTGTGAAAGAATGGGTTGCTCTCAGGAGCTCAGTGAATTCAAGCGTGGTACTGTGAGAGATTGCTACATGTGCAGGAAGTCCATCTGTGAAATTTCCTTGCTATTAAATATTCCACAGTCAACTGTTAGTGGTATCATAACAAAATGGAAGCAACTGTAAACAACAACAACTCAGGCACACAGTGGTAGGCCACATAAAATGACAGAGCGGGGTCAGCGCATGCTGAAGCTCACAGTCCGCAGGAGTCGCCAACTGTCTGCAGAGTCAATAGCTAAAGACCTCTAAACTTCATGTGGCCTTCAGATTAGCACAACAATAGTGTGTAGAAAGCTTCATGAAATGGGTTTCCATGGCCGAGCAGCTGCATCCACGCCAAATATCACCAAGTGCAATTCAAAGCGTAAAATGCAGTGGCGTAAAGCACGCTGACACTGGACTCTAGCGCAGTGGAGATGTGATCTCTGGAGTGAGGAGTCATGCTTCTCTGTCTTGTAATCCGATGATTGTGTCTGGGTTTGAAGGTTGCCAGGAGAATGGTACTTGCTGACTGCATTATACCAAGTGTAAAATGTGGTGGAGGGGGGATTATAATGTGGGGTTGTTTTTCAGGGGTCGGGCTTGGCGCCCCTAGTTCCAGTGAAGAGAACTCTTAAAGAGTCAGCATACCAAGACATTTTGGACAATTTCATGCTCTCAACTTCGTGGGAACAGTTTGGGGATGGCACCTTCCTGTTCCAACATGACTGCGCGCACCAGTGCACAAAGCAAGGTCCATAAAGACATGGATGATCTAGTTTGGGAACTTGACTGAGATGACCTCAGCCCAATAGAACACCTTTAGGATGAATAAGAGTAGAGACTGCAAGCCAGGCCTTCTCATCCAACATCAGTGCCTGATCTCACAAATGTGTTTCTAGAAGAATGGTCAAATATTCCCATAGACACACTCCTAAACCTTGTGGATAGCCTTTCTATAAGAGTTGAAGCTGTTATATGTTAAAGTTCATGTGCGTGTAAAGGCAGGCGTCCCAATACTTTTGGAAATATAGTTTATATATAAACCTTCTATGCCAAAATTCACATGCAGTAATCCTGTAATAAATATTAAACAATTCATACAACAGATCTGAAGTGCCAAAATAGTGCAGTAAATAAATTACCTTCGTAAGAAAATCTCAGTAACTTAGTAAATAAAAATATGTGAAAAGTAACAAAACCATTAAGTAAATCCATGAATAGGTTAAATAATTTTATCCAAAAACAATCCCCATCTCAGTTCATATACTCTATGAAATGAGTATTCATTATCAGAAGAAACTTCCCACTGTGATTCTTATTACAACTCAGGACCTCCCCCTACCTCAAGCCACCTTCACACATGTATAAGAAACAGTAGTGTGCTCACCCTCATACATGACCTCTAAGAGCTTTAAGAGGGCTACATCACATATACTGGAATACCATTGTATCAAAAGAATGATTGACGCCTCTTGCAGCTTGCAGAATAGCTCCTTTCCTCTTGTTATCTGCCTCAGACCTGGAACCTTTGTCACTGTGTCTAGGTGATTTCTGCATATGTTCCTCAGTAAAGAGAGATCTATGCTCTCCACAAAAACAAGTTTTATTAAGAAGCATAAAAAGGAACTCACATAAAAACAATAAGTTTTTAAATAAAAAGCAGTCCTGTTCATATCCAATCCCAGGGGTTTCATCTCCCAAACACACCAATCCCTAACAGCATGTACAACTCTCTTCCATTCAGCAGCATAATACCGGTATTAATTACTACAGATTGACTTGTTGCATCTCACTGGACTTCATCATAAGCTATGAGGGGAGAGTGCATCACACGCATTGTTTTTCAAATTTTTAGTTAAGTTGTGCCAGTGTAACACATATTGGTGCTGGCAAGCTCTCAGAGAATATTTGTTTCAGATTAATGAAGGGTTTGCTGCATGGTGATATTGTTATACAGTATATAAATGTGCAATATTGTGGTTGCAGTTATAGTTGTCAATGAATGAAGAATAATGAAATCTTATAATTAATTTGTGTTTTGATTATCTTACAGGCCTTTCCCTAATTGTAGGCTTGGTTTTATATATCTCAAGTATTAATGATGAAGTCATGAACCGGCCCAGCAGCTCTGAACAGTACTTCCACTACCGATATGGCTGGTCCTTTGCTTTTGCAGCCTCATCGTTTCTCCTTAAAGAGGTTTGTGAAATTTTTTTTCACTAAACTTTAAATTTTTATAAGCATGCTTTTTCCAAGGGCTGTAATTTCTGGTAGCCCTGCAATCTAAATATCTGAATTTTATGTAAATGCTCTATTGACTTTCTTCTCCATCACTACCATTGCTACAGAAAAAATGTTGGGCTCAACATGTCTCACAAAAAGTGTTCTAAAAGCAAGCTGGACACCAGGAAGAGAGTGGAGAGGGACATGACCCTTCCAGGATCATACAGGGATTTAAAGCGGAGTTCCAGTTGAATTAAAAAAAATTAAAATTAGCAGCTAAAATAACTGTAGCTGCTAACTTTTAAAATACAGACACTTACTTACCAGTCCCTCAGTCCAGCGGTGTCCTCACTACGGTTGGTTTCACTGGCTGTCTTCTCTCCCCGGCACCGGCATCTTCAGTGTGGGCACCCTGCTGTGACAGCCTGTGGCTTCACAGTCAGGTGCCCACTGTGCATGAGCGAGTAGCTCTGCGCTTTGTGAATGGTCCTGTAGTCTTCTGGAACCTCTGGGACCTGTCAGGTTTCCCAGAAGACTATGGGGAGCGAGGGGGGAGAACAACTTCCACTTCCTATCACCTTAGGCTATTGCACAGGAAGTGGGAGTGGGTACCTGTTAAATTTGGCTACCCTCTCCCCAAAAGTGCCAATCCTTAACGGGAAGTGGGGGACAAAGCCTTAAAGCACAATGGTGCAGCTCCGCTTTAAGTCCTGTGATCAATTCCCTAGAAGACTTCAACCACTGAAACCCTGTATGCAGTCCCAAAAACAATACATAATGGTTTGCCACTTGGCATGTCAAAATAATGTCTCTCAGCAGTCCCCTCCATGAATATCCTTCTTTTATATTCCCTTATTGATTTTGCTCTTCTGTCTCTTTGATGTTACTCAGCACATCAACAACGTTCCAAGAAATGCAGAGTCACAGCAGCATAAGAACCCCTGAAGCTTTAGCTCATGGAGAAATTTAGATAGACATGAAAACTTAAAATTTTAATAGATTTTAGCTTTCACCTCTCCATAGGCCATGTGCATCAGTATGCTATGCTGTTCACATTTCTGGGGCTGCAGAAAACCTGGTGTTCTGTAACTTCCTGATCCCATAGGGACGGCATTATGCATGTCCAAGGACCTCAGAATTATGCAGTAACTATGCCGTGCCCCGATAACATTTTATTGACTTTCATCATTCATCCTCATAGCAGCTGATGCATTAAAAGATTTTACAGAATGATTATTATCAACAGGCTGTGGTTTGGTTCGTAGGTAGTATGACAGCTTTGCTCAAACTATCTGCTGACATGGCAGAATGATGAAACTTAAAGCAAATGTGCATTTTGCCTTTGTAGGGTTTCTTTAAAGCTTGACCCAGCTGTACAAATTCTTTAATTTCTCTGTTGTTCCATTCAGCCACTGGAAGCAATAAAAGGAAGCTCTATGTAAAGTCAGAGTAACTGTAATTGGTGCTTGGAGAGGATTGTCTCTCCACCCCCATATGATAGTGTTGGATTTATCACCAATCTGTAGCACTGTCACATGAGGGAGAAAGGCATAAAGCAAACCTGTTGCATTGCCCTGCATAGGTAAAATACAGGTTTGCTTTAAGGTAAACAAAGTGGACTTATACATCTTGCTTTCTCACTTTCTATATGCATTCCAAATTATCAATATCATCACTATTGTTACATGTATTATTATGATTACTACCATCATTTTTTTTTTTGCAACAACTTTTATTTACAGGGTGCAGGTGTCATGTCAGTATATCTGTTCACAAAGCGGTATGCCGAGGAAGAGATGTATCGTCCTCATCCAGCTTTCTATCGCCCCCGACTCAGCGACTGTTCAGACTACTCAGGCCAGTTTCTCCACCCCGAGGTGTGGCACCGTGGCCGAAGTCCATCTGACATTTCCAGTGATGTCTCAATCCAGATGACCCAGAACTATCCACCAGCCATCAAGTACCCAGACCACATACACATATCAACATCCCCCTGCTAAAAGCAAAATCAGTGGTAAACTTTTTGGAAGATCTAAACATCTCCTTAGGATACAGTTCTCTATAAAGATGACACAGCTTGGCCTGTTCAACTAGAGACAGAGTACTGTGGAGCTAAAACTATGAACCTTTACTTCCAAATGTCTGGAAATTTCCAGCCCCTGTACCTGGAAATCAGTTCTTTTGACTTTGGCCTCTTTTTAGTTTTATTATTTTAACTTTACTATTGTTACGTTGGCAATTATTTCCAGACTATTTTGGTGATATGATTTAGCCATATCTTGTTTTAATCTCTTTTTAGCTTATGTTATATTTTTTTCAGAAACTAGATTCATTTATTTGATTATTTTATCATCTTCCTTATTCATTTCTTCTATAAAAAGAAATCTTAGTACCTTGATGAAGATTTATACTCACTCTTGATTTTTTGGCTTTGCGAAAAATTCTTTCTTAACTCTGCAGTGAAAAATATGGACAATGGAAAAAGTACATGAACAAAATCTTTTTCTTCCACTGCAAGCTTTATCTTAATGTAATATTTACCAGACTCTAAAAGAAGAAAAATGCTAGCGATAAAATCTCTCCAGCAAGACTGATAAAATGAAGAACAAAAGAAATGTCATCATAAAAAAATTAATTGCAAAAGGAGAAATATTTTACTGGTTTCAGGAAGACACAATGGTGTCCAAAAACTGAAAAAAAGACTTTCATGCTTAAATTGTCTATTGTGTCATCCTCTCAACAGGTTGACAATTTTTTGGATGTGATCCAAAGTCTGACATATATTATAATTTTTTGCGTTCACTGTGCAGCCTGAAGTTATAGACAGTTGTCCCCCATGAATGTTGCTTTCCATTAATATCTTATTTTTATGGGAAAGGAAAACTAAAAGCCATAGAGTAGTGAAGTATGATAAATTATTTTATTTTATAAATAAATATGCATCCTATTTTAGAATGCACTAAACATGCTGTCTGCAGGCACAGTTATCTGATTGAACTATCCAGGTTAAATGTTCTTTTCAATAGTTTTATTATCGATTTAGAACATTTTGTTTTATTTTTGTGTTATTTTGTTAGCTTTCAGAGTATACAGAAGACTTTAAAATAGGAGACTAACCTCAATGTCCTTGCTTAATTTTGTGCAGGGGAAAGTATAAAGTGCATGCAATTATGTTTTACTACATTGCACAATTTGTGGGGATTTTGAGGATTCATTACTAGACCTCTGTTGTCCCCTGTATAAATGTCCATTGGCCTTTGATGCTGTGCCTTCAGTGACATCATGCCAAACTCTTAAAATGTCACACATACTGGACCATACCACCAAACTCTTGTATTCTGAGGATGCTGACACTGCAGAAGGATTGATAGGATATATAAAAGGTTTACAAATTGAAAACTAAGGAATAAAATGTTACTCTAGGACAGGGTTCTCCAAATTTTCAAAGCAAAGGGCCAGTTTACTGCCCTTCAAACTTTAGGCCGGACTGTGGCCAGTGGTAGTAGAAAATGCCCTGGCATCGGTGGGAGTAAACAATGCCATAGACTTGCTGGTCAGGTGGGAGTAAAAAAATGACATCATTGGTGCCAGTGGGAGAATTAGTTCCCCATCTCTGGTGTCCTTGGGAGTAATATTAACCACATTGTTGGTGTCAATGGAAGGAATAGTGCTTTGTCTTTGTTATCAATGGAAGTAATAGTGCCCCAAGGGCAGATAAAAGGCAAGCACATCCAGGCCACAGTTTGGAGACCCCTGCTCTAACATATAGTCAATCATTGCACAACACAAATGGTTCTGACCGAGCTATGTGACAGTCTAATAGTATATAGTGTACAATGCACAACTGATCACAACAGAGCACTGAAACATTGAATGGATGGACTAGATGCTGTTTTTGAAGAGCATTGCTGTTCATTTGACATGCTATAATCACTAGGTGTGGGCCCTAACCAAACACACTAGTAAGCACATCCAAACGGTGCTAGTTAGGTTACAAGGTTACCAATTTGAAATAACCACAATTAGGAGGAAAAATTAAATACCCAGTCAAAGGTAGCCACACAGTCCAATCACATAGCAAATAAATATGCATCAGATACTAAGAAAACAATAATACAGTTGAGAAATCCAAAAACAAATCCCCATCCATAAAACACCTAAAATAGACAGGAAACCTCAGTCATAACCTCAGGATTTTTCTTGCTTTTAAGGGGTATTTGCCTTCCTTTGGATCAGCTGTCTCTGTAGGGTTCTGTATATGCAGGTTCTCAATTTATTCATGTTTTAATGTATTTCTATTGGTTAAACTCAATGGACTTTTTCAACCTAGCTAACTATGTAACGATAACAATCATCAGTCAATTCATAATCAACATCTAGGATTGAGACAGTCAACCATAAAACATGATATAATGGTCTAATTAGAAGTGTATAGTAGCACAATATTCCCATTAGATCTATACTACAGGGCCAGTTACTCGGTTTGGACAATAAACAAGTATAACTCAAACTAATGAGTATCAAAATATCTAACAATTTACATTGAAGAACAAGCATATAAGAGCTGGAGTCACTATTGTTATAAAACATATTTTATAGCTACATGCCAAGCTGAAACTCTCAAAAGACAGCAAAGTGAGAGTGTGTCAAACAAAAATATATAAACAGTCAAAGAAAAAAAATTAAGAAAAATATAGATGCAAAAGGAAGGAAAAACAATAAAACCCAGTCTGGTCACTGGGGAAAAAATCAAAGGCCCAAAGAAGAGAATGACAGTTAGGGTACAAATATTGTGGATGTGATTTGCTTTGTTAGATCATTTGAGCAAAATTTAGATGTGCAGGTAGGCTGAAAAAGAGGTCATTTGTTGGAAAGGATGGTTCTACATGAATGGTGAAAAGGCATTCTGTAAAAGCAGAAAAACAGTAGAAAGATAACATATTTCTACAAATACACCAAGAGCTTGCATTTTCAGTTTGTTACATTCCAACAAAAAGATATTACCTTTCCTTGAAGCTTTAAATATGAACCCCAAGCAAACAGTTTAACAAACATGTTAAACAACATATACAGAAGCTGTTTTACATGTCAAAGTATTTGTATTTCTGTCCATACAGTTCTGACATTCACACAGGACATCCTGTTGGATCGCCCCACTTTCTGTGGTGTCCTCTTTTCACCTACATACTGTGTGGATAGTTAAAGAGCAGCAAGCTGATGAAGTCATCCCTTTGCTTACCCCTTCTATCATCATGTTTCTTATCAGCACATTTTGCATGCAGTACACCTGATGGCTCCCATTCCTGCTCCTCTTTCTCCCCATCTGAGTGCTGCTGTATCAGGGATTGCAGGAAGATGATACCAATGATCTAAAACATTGCAAGAGGATGATACCAATGCTCTAAAAACAAAATAATAATGTATTAATGAATACAGAGCTGCATTAATGTGTGCATTTTATATCTGCCTGGAGTTCAGCTTTAATCAGTATCTAACACAGTAATATTCCCATGCTTATACTGAAACATTTATACCAGAAAATATAAAGGGAACATAAGAGAGTACAGTAACTTCTTTTAAGTTATGAAATAAGAAGCAACCAAAGCAACTTTCATGGGGATTTCTGAAGTCATATAAGAGAGAATGGCTGACACAGTGGACATAAAACACTTAAAAAACACAGAAAAGAGACTTATAAAAAAAGTCAGCTTGTCAAGCTGCATCTACTTCCCATGTTGCACTATCCACACTAACACATTCTGACGTGTTGGTTTAATGTATAGAAAAATAATGTATAGCCTAATGTAGTTCATTTTACTGCTGTGGTTTTCACAGGGACTCGGGAAGGCTTGGCTTGCATTTTGCCCATCGTATATACCTTTCATCCATGGAAGACATTTTGTTTCTGCAGTGAGCAGACTATAATGGTGTCTAAAGAGCACTGAAATGTACATAGATAGTTGATATGTATCAATGCAATGTAAGAAATTGAACCTGACCTATAGATATGAAATAATGACCTGTCTGGAAGTCTTTACCAGATATAGATAATGACACTATAACTATATATTTTTACTATTGAAGTATATGGCCTTAAGCATTATAGTTGGCACTTAAAGCTCAACTGAAGTCAAGACATTTGGACAGAATAGAGAATGATTAACCCTCTGCCAGGCTTTATGGCTGTCAGTCTTCCTTTTAGGGAGATTTCCCTTTACATCTTGTGACCACACAATACTTGAGAGGGATCACACTGATGGAGACACATGGATACATAAATAATATAACTGACAGAAATTTGAACCTTTCTCCACTCTGCAGGAAATGCTGAAATTGCTGTCTGTTACCCTGTCATAGAGTCTCTACTTCCTGCCCCGGTACCAAACAGACAGTTCTTTCTCCATTAAGGCCACAGGCAGTAATAAACCCTGGCAGATGCTTCCTCATTCTATTTAAATAAAATGTTTGCCTATAGTTGGGCTTTTTAAGGACCAAGACATCTAAAGCACAAGTTGGTTTATATATAACTGTTGTAAATATGATTTTCAGAAACACCTTTATGAAATGGTTTGAGAAGTCAAATTAAGAAATCAAAATAAGAACTATTATCACGGGTTTTTTTTTTTTTTCATTTTCTATCCACAACAGATTTCCTGTTGCATAAGAATGAATGGAATTGAGAGTTTTAATTTCCCCTAAATTTTGGTAAAACTTGAGAGATTCCAGTAAATTTCACAATTTTGGTTTTGAGCCAATGGAGAGAACAAAATTAAGTTGGTTGGAAGATCCTTTCAGCTACTGTATCTTGAACTTGCTGTTGTTTTAAAATGGGGTCCCTAACTAGTCTAATTACTTTACGTGTTTCTCACAGAATGAAACAACATATAGTGAAAAAGTGACGTAATTAAATTTAAAGTACTCCTTCAACCACCTTACCCCAGAGTGTTACTCGAGCTTGAAATTATATGTAACAAGCGTAAACCGAAGCACCACTCAGGGT